AGTAGGAGCAGTAGGAGCAGTAGGAGCAGGAGTAGGAGTAGGAGTAGCAGCAGCAGGAGGAGGAGTAGTAGTAGTAGCAGTAGTAGTATGAGGGACTCAATCATCACTACACGTCTTTTTAACCATTGAAGAACATCTTCAGAATGCTTCAAGGTCTCTAACACCTTTCAACCGTTGTTTGGGCGTTAGTGCCTCTTAGGGGCACCGGTGTTACGAAATTTGAGGAACAATGACACGTCTATCCAAGCGGTACTGTAGTAGGTTTGTTTTAAAAAGGCCCTTGCGAGTCTTTAAGGGGGTTATTCATTTATACGTATACACTTGTCTTGTTGGTCTTCATTTGTCGTCGTTTGTCTTATCATCGTAACGCTCGTGTGCTGGCAGTGCCGATAACGACAGTAGTGTCGAAGCCTTCTTGGCCGCAGCAGTAGTCGGAGCGGGAGTCGTAGTCATAGCGGTAGCCGAGTAGCTGTTGATTGTAGAGGCAGGCTTGAAGTAGGGGTTCTGGACATGGCGGCTTAACAGTTACGTTAAGTAGTGTTAGCGATGAACGACGAACCAAGCCTGGAAATCGAGGGGTCCACCTTCATTGAGCTACTTCATACCTGTTGAATGTAGATGCATTCGCCAGGCTGGCAAGCCCCAACAGCTCCAAGTCCGAGTTCTTTGGTAGAGCATCGTGTAATCGATGCCCTCCGTATGCGATTCTGGATCGGCAATGCGATCTGAGGAGACCCAACGGATGTCCGCGGCTTTGTACCGTTTCCATGCTTGAAACCTTCAAGCGCCACAGGATGATGCAGGGCAGAACCTGTTCAAAACCAAGCGCGACCGTCTGTGATTTTCGGCCTTAGATTTCCAGTTACGCTGTGCTACATCTTGTACCAAGTTGGCATTGTGGAGCCTTTGGTGGGTCATGGGACCTTCATCTGCTCGAGTCGAGCACCCGCCTCGCTTCGTGACTCTGCCGGACGCTTCAGGGACCGATGCTCTGTAAGGTTGAAATACACCTAATTCGTTATTGCCCCCGTGCCCTCCTGTAAGACCTCCTCTGCCTATGTGACTCTAACCCTTCAGTGGTAGAAGCAATTCAGGCCAGGCTTTTGTCATCTGCGGGGCTGCACCAGATAGGCGACCTGTAGGCAGAGATACGGAGAGTTCTTTCACCCCAGCCTTTGTGATGGGCTCATGTGAGGCCGCCACCATGCAGTTCCAGGCAGCAAGAGAGCTCTGCATCTTGCCTCTTGATGATGCTGAGCACTTACACACCCCCTCATTCTGCAAAGCAGTTGTGCTGGCCTGACATACTGTGCGAAGCCTTTCCACCCTCTCGACCTGGAGTCTTTCGCGGAACAGTTGAACAGATGTTGGCCTTTTCTTGCAACGGCTGTGGCCTAGGCTCTCCTGCAGAGGTTTCAGGTTTCGCAGGACGACAGCTGTGAACTCTGCAGCAGCCGAAGGACCGAAGGATGGAAAATCACAGCGCATACACTGACGATACTGAGTCTAATTATTCATGGGGGAATGAACCAGGCTGAAGAAGGCGGCTCAGGCACGAGAGCTGGGTGAATGTGCCGACTGTCCACCCCATCACCCACTGAAGAGCGGGGCAACAAGCTTTCAAGGGGCGAACTGCACGAACTCCCAATCGACTCGCGCAACAAGCTTAGCGAACATCGTTACGCACAGATACGGGGCAGCAAGCAAGAAAAACGCACGGGACGATTTCTGCTCCCCACTGTATATTCCCTCTAGCCCCTGCATTAAACAATGCCGCCGATATGTTGCACACCAACGAACCCCCCGTCCATTCAGCAGGCCCAGTGCAGCAGCGCAGTTGCAGTACGTTTCGTAGTTGTCCTTGTCTGACGGAGTCGGGAAAAACTGCACTGACTGGCAGCAAGACTGGCTTAATGATCGCCTAGTGCGCGTGACTGTGGCTGAGTCCTGTTTGCTACCGCGAGTGTAGCACGGGCCAAAACAGCAACCGGTTCCGGCGTCGCCACAACGGTAGCAACAAGAAGAAGTTCAGGATCAGGACTCCAGTAGCTTGAGGAGGTGAGAGGCTTGAGCTTTAGAATCAGTTTAGAATCTAAAATCACCCCTTTTTCTTCAGATTCATTGATTGCAGTTGATCTCGACCGCAATCAATGGGCCGCCCAAATTGGTAGTGCGATTCGCCTGCATCATATCGCATCTATAAGTCCTCGACGCTGTTTGGTTGCCTAGCTTTCTCACAGGCCACCCTCGTGCGCTGCTCCTCCGATGATCCATGGGGCTTTGCGTGGAATGCTGGGCAGCCAGATTCACTTTTTTGTTGCGTTGTGGGTTCGACTCTTCGACTCTTTGCTGAGTGGGGGGCTTTAGCATTGCTTGACTTGGCTGCATTACAGTAGGTGTGGGTTTCACATCGTTGTGGGCTCCGTGACCAAATCCAAACCGCAGTGCAGGGGTGATGAGGCTGATGTTCGTGTTTTGGGTTGGATGTGGCACCGGGTGACAGAGGCAGCAGAAAGACCTTGTGTGTCAAGTTTCTCCAAAGCTTTACTATCTAATGTGCGGCAGGCTCGGACTCTGTTGTTGCAGGCCCTCAACTGACCGCATCTTTCGTTGTGCAGCGAGTGCCAAATCTCGGGTACACGAGCTGCTCGGGATGAAACCTGCAGACATTTTCAGCCCATGCGTTGGGTTATGACTCCGGCAGAAGCTAGCTGTCAATCGGTACTCATCTTTGCCAACTAGGGAAATCAAGACTGCACGTTTCATATTGTGTGCCGGATCGACCCCAGCATGGCTCGCGACGAACGATCCAGGAGGCGTGGCCGGACAGTGAGCTCAACACTGTTGGAACATGCATTGTTCATTTATGTCAGGGTGATTGCTGCATGGAGGTCTTCAGGTTGCAATTTGGTTTCCTTGGCAAGGGAATTTGGCCTCCTTGTTCCGGCCACCATTGGTTCCAGCAACAACATTTCTGGTTGATGTGCTTTGGGGACGATGTAGGGCAACCGCAAACGGGTGTGTAGTGTTGTGGCAGCGAGCCGTGCACTCGTTGACGTCTAAAGAAACTGCATCGAGTGGCCCGTCGTTCATGGTCCCTGGTGATGCTCGGGGAGGTCGATGCAGCATGCAATCAGACCCCAGTGCAGAGGAGCCACCGGGACTTTTGCAAAGCACTGGCAGAGGAGACGATGGAGGTTCTCGCGCGAGGCTGCGCCAGCAGGGCTTTGTAACGGCAGGGGGAAGGAGCCTTTCAGTTTGGAGCTGTTGGTAACGCTGCGCCGAAGCCGAGCCTTCAGGATCTCGCTCATGATCTTTTTCAGTCCTGCAGTATCCTGCAGTCAGTCGCGACTGAAGATGCTGCGGCAAGCTTTATCGAATTCATAGGCATCTGCCTGCGCTCCTGCTCCCCCCGGCAGTGCACTTCGAAGGTTGGTACATGACCGACACTGCAGACGATCCCGTCGACATTTCTGCGGCCCTTGATCGCGCAATGGAGGCATGTAAAAATTAATTTTGAAAGTACGATGGAGATGTTTTCTGTGCCCATCACAGACCAAGTCCTTGCTAGATTTCAGAATGCTGCAGCAGATTCTGGAATTCATGGACGTTGATGCTTGTCGTATTGCTTCTCGTCGGTGTTGCTGCATGCTCACAGTTCCTCTGACAGCAAAGCGGCGCGAACACTTGAGGCGGGGTAGACTCAATGTGTTTTCATGTACATGTTCTAGCAAGGCATCAAGCCAATCACCGTCCTCAAGCGAGAGGCTAAGCCCGAGGTTGGACTTCTGACAAGAACCGTGATATGATTCAAGCGAGAAGCCTACGCAAATGCCGCACGTCAGAAGAACCTCTGCACTTCTGACACGCGTTGCTTCTACATAAGACTCTATGCCAGCTTGCTTTTGCGAAGGGCTCAGAGGAGCTCTGCGAGAACGTGCCGCTGCGCAGGTCCTGGGTGTGGCTATGCTGGGTATTGGGAGAGTTCCCTACTTGTATCGTGCGTACCCTAGGTACATGCCGTAGCCTTTTCTGGCGATGTGCTTTTCGGCCCAGGGTTGCAGTACCGCGCATCGAGATTTGTAGTCTCACGATCTATGCCTGCATTTTTTGGCAAGAGTTGGTGCTTCCTAAAGATTCCCGAAAGGTGCTTCTGTTCGCAACGGGTTCGTTGCAGAGATGTCCGCATCACCGTTCTTACCACCCCTGGAGTGCAGTGAAGAGCCGTGACAGGTCGGCGGCCAGCAAGCACACCTCTGGTAGGCTGCATGTCCAAGCACCTCGCAAGCATCTGATTCCGCCAGAAAAGGTCCACATCATCTGGCTGCGGTACCTAACATAAGCTAACTATGCTACATCGTCCTGTTTTGATGCCCGAAAAATCGCTGTTCGGAGTCAAAAACATATACCATTTTCCTTCAGTGCAGGACAACTGGAGCACTGCAGGTTCTACACTGAAGGCAAACGGCATATGTTGTTGACCCCGAACAGTGATTTTTCGGGCATCAAAACAGGAGTCTGGCAGCTTTCGAAAGATGCTGAATCTTAATTCAGGGCTGTGAAAAAACGTTATGAAGTTGTTAGGAGCCATGGTTCCGAACAGCAGGTCCCTTTTAAAAACCTGGTGCAAAGCAAGCTTGCAGTGCAGTGAAGCTTTGTCTGCAACAGGCACTTGTGGCTGCAATTCTTCCTTTCGTCTGGACCTGCTTGAGCAAGGTTTCTGCTCACTGCAACCAGCCCAGGTGACGGAGGAGACGTCCTTGCAGGCATTGTACAGGATCGCCGAGGAAGCGAAGGACGCGGCCAGACCCCCGTGGGAAGCGACGATGTGTGGGCATGACATCGGGGTCATTTGTTGTTGAGGCCCGTGCTAGAGGAACATCCAGCAAACTTAGCAGCTGCAGCATGGGTTTTTGTTGGTTTGTGGCGTGCGAAAGGTGGAGACGATAAATCAGGGCTTCAATGCTCCAATGCTGCTATCGGTGGAGCCTTTTCCTTTGAGCGCAGTGGATTGCCATCTCCCGCGACCAGGAGAAGCCGCCGGCGCCACCGACCTTGTGCTCTAGGTCCTAGGCCCCCAAGAAGTACTTGTGGTATGCAGGATCTGTCTGCCACCATGCTGCTGAACTTCGCCAGCGCCAAGAATCCAGGCGTGTCCATCAACACAGACTTCCTTCTTGAGATCTCGATAGCTTGGGTGGATCCATGGTGGGCAGTTCGAGACTCGTTTCTGCGAGGGACTTTTCAGGCATTGCTTTCATCAGTGGCCGTCTCACTGGCTTTCTCAGTTCTCAACTGACAGGGGGAGGCTTCCTTGGCGGGGCGGTGGCGCAGGCCCAGTCCGATGTATGCAATACATATATAAACAACCGAACGATTACGTGCATATACACTTACATGTTTCCTTGTAGTTGGTAGAGTTTTACCCCGGTAGGAAGGTACGTGGCAACAAGCATGAAAAGCTGGCATTTGAAACCAGATTACCAATCCCCATATCATTGCCGCAAAGTCACCATGACGACCTCGGCCATTGTCAGTACACACAGTTTGTGTCGCTCGCATCATTTATCCACGTGCAGGCATTTTCATGCCGCCTACAAAGTTGCATTTGTTAGTCTGATTCAGCGAATTCCACTCCACTCCACTCTCGGCAGCTCTGAAGACCAACTTACGCAGCAATCTATATCAGAGACGGTGCACGTTTTGATTCATCCGAGTGTCGGGGGCACAGTGTTTGTTAGCTGCTGTTAGCCTTGGATATCGTCAGCCTTTCAACAAGACAAGCGACCATGCATGTATGTATGCTCTCGGGTCC